GCGTATGCTGATTATTTGGATCTTTTTATAAATGAAGAAAAACGTATAAAAAGCGAAAATCCTCTTAATTATAACAATGAATACCTGGATCGACTTGAAGAAACTAAAAATAGTTACCTTCGAAATATAGCAATCATACAAAAGTCGATTGAAACGAAAAGATCTTCTTTACCTCCACTCTCTCCTGAAAATATCGCTCATCTCGAAAAACAATTATACGAATTACCAATAAACGGAGAAACTCTGAAAAAAGTAAAGCAAGAAGCAGAAAAAGGTAAAAATAACGCGTTTAAGTATCACGAAAATCACATTAGAACCACAGATAAAAAGTCGAAATGGCTTTTAAATACTTTCAGATCATTCACCCAAAGATTTTGGTAACATTTGCGCTTTTTTGTCTTTGCTTTTATGACCTATTCTACATGTAAAAGTAGAGTCTAAAAATGTCTTTTTTCCTGGATGCCAGGTTTTGACATTTTATTGTAATATCTTTCATAATCTTTTTATTAATTAGTATATTATTATATTTAACGCAAAATAAAGAACATGATTTATTCTAAAACCGTCTCTAAGTTGATCAATAGTTTTATGTGTTGTGGATTAGTAAAGTTAAACAATACAAAGAATATATCCTTTTGTAGAAAATTTAAGCTTTAATTTAAGATGGGCATCAAAATTTCCCTCCCTCCCTTTAAGTAAGATTTCTTGATTTGGTACAATATATAGATCTCACTTGTTTTAATAAAACGCGTAATTCTTTCTCTTTTTATTTATTAATGATTTTAATTTGTGTTTAATAATACAAAGCTTTCTTTTATCTCCAAAATTGATCCTGCCAGAATGATCTTCTAATTGTGAATCATGTGATAATTTTTTGCTGATATTAGTGATGAACAATTAAATTACAAAATCACAAAAATTCAAAAAAAGCTTGTATTATTAGTTAATAATTAAACTATAAAAATTATCAATTTTTTAGAAATAAATTAAAAAAATATAACAAAATATAAGATAAAAGAAGATATTATAATAAAGTTAAAATTGTGATTAGGAAAACTTTTTACAAATAGTACAAATATTAGTATATTTATTATGATTAAAAAACCAACTCAATTTGTATAAGTTTAGCAAAATTACAATAATATAACAAGTAATAAAAGAAAAAATAATTTTTTTATATGCTATTAATTTTGAAAGAATAAAGAGTATTTTGATAAAATATGCAATATTTTGATAATTAGTTATCAAAATTATATAAAAATATCATTATTGATTTATCATATCTAAATAAATTAAATAATAATATTTTTATATAATTTTAATTACTAAATATAATCCAGTGCAAAAATGTGAATACACGAAAAATGAAAGTTAATAATTATTTCTAATAAAAGTCATACAATATATAATTAATATTTATAATTTTTTTATATTAAG